CTGGACCGCCAGGAAAGTACCTAATTTAGTTTTAAATGTATACATATATAAAGTTACATAGTTATGATTTTCGCAAAAAAAAAAAAAAATCCATACTTTTACAACCTTGGAAAATTTATCTATCCCTAATATAGCTTCTTACCCATACCGTATTTTGGCTTAATGCTTGAGAGGAAGAAATTCACATTGTGCAATCTGTTATGCAAAATTGTTGAATTTTTCTCAATAGGTGATTTTTTTCCAGGTTTTATTATCTTTATAACTTCTAATTTTTCATTGTAGCAATGAAAGCCTAGTACATTTAAAAATCTTTGCGGATTAAGAAAATACTGTCTTTTGGATTACTTTTTGCTAGTAGCTAAGCTTGCTAACAGGCTTGCTTTTAATTTTAATATTGTTCAGCTGCCACTGTTTCTTGGTATAAAGAAAGAGTGATAAACTATTGTAGTTCTGCTTTCAACAAAGGAAGAATTCCAATGAAAATACTTTGCTTATAACCTCTTCACAAGCGGTAAGAGTAATGCAGATGAACATTTATTTACAATTTACATTTGAGGGCGTGTGTATTTGTGGGTGTGTGTAAAAAATTCCAACCTATGTAAAGGAAGAAGGAAATAGTCCAAAAACCTGCTTATTTCTAGGAATACTTAAGGGGGGTCTACATAAAGCAGTCCTTCTGCATCTTGCATAAATTATGGACCCTTTTTTTCTCCAATTACACAGAAGCCTATTTCAGAAACCAGTCTTAGAGAGTAGAGTTTTATTCTATGAATAATATTCCATTATTACTGCAGATAACTTTTGTATTTGGAACAGTGATGGTTTATTTTGAATTATCTAAATGAGACCAAAATGAAACTTGATCTGAACTTTGCCCTTGCTTTGCCAAAGCATCATTAAGTTTCATACCTGCTGAACATTGTTGGAGTATTAGAAACAGGCTCTTCCTGCCGTCAGTAATTGTGATGGATCTTCACTGAGGTACATTTGAAGAACAGTCCGGTGACATTTGTATTCACCTTAACAACGTTATTAAAGACATAGGTTACTCAGTGTCTTCCTTCTATTGTTACTCTCTCTCTGAGGCTGTCTGGGTTCCATGGCCACTTTCCTACAAGACCATTCAATTCCATGTATGTTTCTATCTGCTCTAAAATAAGTGCTGACCTACTGGACAGGTAGCAGTGATCTGCTTCCCTCACACCCAGTCAGCTTTCAAGTGAAAATCCATCCTGATTTGTAGCCTCGCTCTCAGCATGTAGGTGTTTGCTCTTCAACAACCTCCGTGAGGTGTGTCTGGACCATATTCTTCTATTCGTATATCACATAATTTTGTCTTGTATCCTAGACATATTGAATGTTATATTGTGGAGACTCTGGATTCTCTTCTAGTCCTCCAAAAAATAATGTTTTTAACAACTTGGTCGGCTCAAGCTGAACACTGATTTTGGGGTGGCAGCTCAAATCTTATTTCAATTGTTTTTTATTCTTATCTGAGTTACTTTGAATTTGCCCAATACATAGATATCCAAGAGTCATTTGGAGATTTATGTAGAATTTACACACGAAATTTGGGGCCCTCTCTTTGCTCTCACTAGTCTGATCTACCCGTCCGCCTCCTTTCTCAGTGGATGTGACTGCCCCACACCCACTTCACTGGTACCTCTGGCTAGAATGCTGTGGGCTTTTTCTTTTAGTCCAAGGTTTAACTCCATTGCAAACGTGTTGATTGCAGAGCTCTCTCAGGCAGTAACCTGTAAAAATGGGTTACTGCCTGAGAGAACTAGCTCCATTACCTTCTTTCAGCTGAATCCTCCCGTCCACAATCTGCTATTTTCCATTCTGCTGTGCATCCATGTATTTGGTCTTCTGTTTGGGGTTGGGGGTTAGTTTGGCTTTTGTTCAGAGCTTATAGTTGTTATCTCTTAGAATTTTACTTGTGCGTATTCATAGCAGAAGTTGAAGAGGTTGTTTATCATCTGTTGTATTCTCCTTCAAAAAAATACAATTTTACTTTTAAAAAATTAATTGAGGACATTAAATGTGAAAACTCAGGTACAATGCAAGGTTGTGAATGATGTCATCTTCTCCAGAGAGTTTATTGTGCTCCCAGCTGACAACTAGGCTAGAAACACCAGCTACCTCACATCACCTTTATCCAATTTAGGTTGAGACAGTTTCGAGATGGATTTCGGTCCCTAGGCAGGCTAGTCTATGTCTACTTCTCACCTACTCTTATTTTTCAAGGCCCTAGAGTTTCCTGTTCTCTTACAGACTCTGAAAACCACTGTTTGGTTTTCTAAACCCCAGGGTCTGTTGATAGCTCTGCTCATCTTATTCTTCTTTTTTTTTTTTACATCTTTATTGGAGCATAATTGCTTTACAGTGATGTGTTGTTAGTTTCTGCTTTATAACAAAGAGAATCAGTTATACATACACATATATCCCCATATCTCCTCCCTCTTGCGTCTCCCTCCCACCCTCCCTATCCCACTCCTCTAAGTGGTCACAAAGCACCGAGCTGATCTCCCTGTGCTATGCGGCTGCTTCCCACTAGCTATCTATTTTACATTTGGTAGTGTATATATGTCCATGCCACTCTCTCACTTTGTCCCAGCTTTCCCTTCCCCCTCCCCGTGTCCTCAAGTCCATTCTGTACGTCTGCGTCTTTACTTCTGTCCTGCCCCTAGGTTTCTCAGAACCATTTTTTTTCTTTTTTAAAAAAAAAAAAACACTGTAAACATCTCATTTCAGTCACTGACTTCCGACATCTTTAATTTGGCGGACAAAGGCCTTCCTCTACTCTCGCCTTCCCTCCTTTCCGCTCAATCCAGTATGCATTTTTATTAGCTTCTTGGAAACACCATGCTCTTTGCTGTTTTCTACGTGTTCTTTCCTCTACCTGAAATGCTTTCTTTTCTCCCTTCAAATCTCAGCCTCCGTATTACCTCCTCAGAGGAGCCTTTCTTGGGCATCCAGGGCTAGGTTGTCCCTCCTGGTCCTTGCTGCCTAAGACAGGATCTTTCCTGACACACCGCATCTTGTAATGATTTGTTTAATATCTTTTTTATCTACCTGGAGCACAAGCTCCTAACAGCAGAAATAACGTGTCCTATTCAGTGCTTTACCTCCAGTGTGGAGCCTCAGGCCTGGCACATAGCGTGTGCTCAGTATTTGATTCTGTGTGTGCCATTCCTTCTACTTGGAATGTCTTCCCTAGTCTTGTAAACTTAACTTTTTCCAGGAATCTTCCTACAGCCCAGTTAATACCAAAAAAGTTAATTACTGCTTCCTCAATGCCACTCCTTTTACATGCTCCATCGCTGCACTTTTCACACTTTTATTGCTTTAGCATTTGGAGTTTACAAATTGGCTGCTAATGAGCCACGATGAGTCACAGATTTTTTATGCACCCCCTCCCCATATAAAAATCAGTAGATTTCACAATTAACAAACCAGAAGATACGGCAATGCTGGATACAACATTCCCACATGACAGTTATCCTCCCTGAGCGAAACTTCTGTTTCCTGGGATAAAGCAGGTACTCAACATCATTTATAAGTGGATTCATTGATGAATTAATGGAAAAAGATTAATACCTTTTTTCAACTTACAAAACTTTACATACCATTGCTAAATTACTTTTAAAATGCAGAAACCCACATTTAAAAACTAAAATCAGGAAGCTAGCAAGCTACCCAGGTTAAAGAGAGCATGCCGTGAGCAGTTCCCCAGAAATACCACTAGACCTGCTTCACCCATCCACGTGTTGTGCCTGTCCCCAGGCATCAGAGTTTATGACCGATAATACAAGTTTAACTCTTTTCCTAAACTAAGTAGTTCATTATTGTGAGTTCCTTGAAATAATGAGCTGAATTTTATTCATCTCTGAATCCTGCATTACCTAACATGTTTCCTGGGACACCACACCTGATCAGTATCATTTCTTAATGGATTGGTCGAATTAATTGGAAAGGATTAATACTTTCCTATTGATATTTCAGTCAAATTTCAATTTTATGAGATCCACTGTGAAAAACTACTCTTGGAGATTAATTGAAATAATGCATATGAACTCAAGGAAGGACAGTTCTAAAACATACATGCTTGAACATTAAATGAATTCATGTTTAATCCACAGAGCTAAGTCCAGGTGTGGCTTCATTTCCAGAGAAACTCTCATAGCCCAGGAGCAGGAATTGTACGTTGGGGTTTGAAGAATGCCATCATACTGGGAAAATAAGGTCTTGAGTTAGAAGAACTGAAGACCTTCTAGGGAGGAAAAATGTGCTGTTCTGGGAACAACAACCGGTCCTAACAAGGGTACTAGAACCAGGTAGTGCTTATGAATGAGCCGTAATAACAACTGGGTGAGTAACTCTCTTTCACACTGAAAAGTGACAACGCAGTATTTCAGGCCTCTGACAGGCCCTAGTATTATTGACACACCCTTTTTTTGGTGCTTGAAGGTCTCTCTGACTTCAGGTTTTATTTTTCAGAATCTGCATGATTCCATTAATTACCCGATCTAAGAAAAAAATTGACGGTGTATAATATAAAAATAGTAAGGGTTGTTCTTTTTTATAGCTGTGTTCTTTGGGCAACATTTAAACATGTGGAAGGTTCACTAATTCACAAACCATTTGATTATTAACAAATGGTAGCTAACAGTACAGTTAATTTTAAAAGTTCTTTACACTTAGGAAGTCTGAAGGGCAGTCTCGGCTCATTTAATAAAGTAAATCCTCTAACATGATGTATAGTTTCTCAGCTCTAGTGTGGCTGGTTCTTTTGAATAAATATTGAACTCAAAGTAACAGAAAACCCTGATATTAACAAAGACGATTAAAGACGTGTGAATTTTTGCACATATATTGAAGACAATATAGTCCAGTGAACTGGCATTAGGAACCAGAAATATTTTGATGTGCAGATTGATGTTTTAATAGATGAAAGACATGCAGCAAAGATGAGGTCACATGTCAAGTCATCCAAACCAGAAGTGAAACAATAGCATGTGTAGCTTTTATTTATAAATAAAGAAAATGTCCAGCATAAACAGTTTAGATTCAAATCTTCATGCAAGTAAAAAATCAGAGGTTTTTAATTCAACATTTTTCTTCTAACAATTATGTTTTATAAAGGATTTTATGATGTGTCAAAATGTTATTCTTCTTTTTGCCATTCATTTTCATGTTCTTAAGCGTTCTTGATAAGACAACATCCTTGATAAGAAGAAAAGAGAGAAGGTGGGGGTTGAAATAAGCATCATTTCTGGTCAAGTATTTATTACAGTCTTAGCCCTTCAATATTTCATATAACTGGTCCTTGTTTTAATGAGGTACTGATAAAAGCAAGTAACCATCCCTGGTAAATTATACCACCAATTTCTTTTTAAAAACTCAATGTCGGTAACTACACTAACACCATTTTCTACATTTTTTTTTCCTAAGTTACTTATTCCTTTTTCTCTTAGAAATAGGAAATGCAAGATATAATAAAAAATTTAAATAGCACGTACATTTTTCTACTCTGATTTTCACTGCAATTAAAAATAAAAAAGTTTTCCACTTGTGTGTGTCTTATGAATTTTTTTTCTAGAATGTTCCAAGTATCTAAAAAACTGTCCTTATGTAGTTCATACAGCTCATTCTTTATAACCATTAGAAGAGTACCACATGCACTTTTAAGTCATTTAAAAATGTTCTTAGTTGAACCTAGAGTATAATTCCCATTTTATAATGTATCTTCAAAGGGGGCAAAACTCTGACCCAATAAAATGAATTACATTATTTTATTGCATTCTTTTAACATTTCTCTAAGAAAAGAACAGGATTGTTTTCCATTGATCAAGTAGTAGAAAATATATTTTAAAAATTGCTATATATATGAGAAAACACTTCAGAAATAACTTCCAAATTCTTATATAGAACCATGTTCCTGAAAACAAATATAATTTTAATCTTTGTTATTGATATGCTCTTCCCTCAGTATCAAGTTTGTAAAACTGTGTTTCCCATCATTATTACGAACCTCTAATGAGAAATGGGAGAAAATGTGATTTTCTCTTATCTCAGAACATGTAGGTTAATTTTTCCACATTTAAATATTGCTCAAATTGATTTATTTACCCAATTGCCAGAGTCACAAATATCAAATAGCAAACAGTGCTTTGACTTTAGACCACTCAGAAAGCTTGTTGAATTAGTTAATACATCTAGGAGTTGGCTTGGTTTAAAAAAATAAAGACAACGTGGTTTTTTTCCCTTTATAATGACCATAAAGTAGGACTGTTGTAGAACCTAATGTTTCTGAGATTATAACACAATGAATCTCATGAATAACAACCTGAACAGAAAAAAAAATAGTTGCAGGTACAAGCCTCTCCTTACCTTTCTCTTTGAATACATCTTGGATATTTTAACTGCCCTCTGTCACATTGCACTCTCAATTCCGATCCGATAATAGGAAACTCAATGTAAGTATCTCTCTTACAAAGAAACTCAATATACTCGCCGTGCAAAATATATGGCCTATTGTCAAAACTCCATTTCAGGAGCAAATTATTACTTTCCATTGTATCAAAAGATAATGTGCAAGGCTCTGAAAAAAATAAAAAACAAAGAAAACTATCTTGATACCTCTCAGTATTAACAGGAACCATTGTGTTGCTTTCTCATAATAACCTTAAAATTCCCAGGCATTAGAGCAGCAAGTAAGTTAGAATTCATATTCAAGTCAGAAAATATGTTCAAAGCTCACAGAAAACAGCCTGCCATTTATCTCTGTTGCCCTGAATTTGGAAAAAGGGTATGTCCTGCCAGTTACTGAGCTTTTGCCATTAAGATTTGCAAAGACAGAAGGCAAAAAAGGTGTTTTTTAAAAAACATTGATAGTTAATAATAGTCATTGAAATAGTGTTCTTTTTCTTTTTTCTTCTTCAGAAAGTGCAGATAAAACACCCATGAGACAAACCATTGATGGTTGGATAGATAATATTTTATGGAAATGTAGAAACAAGCTAGAGTCTCGACACTGACTCAGAATTTATGACCTGATGTATAAAGTATGTCCAAAGTAATTTTCTTCTCTTTTAAATTTCAGTTATTAAGGATTATTAAGATTGGATTGAGATGCTTTAAATTTTAAGCATTGACAGTATTATTGTGTCCTTCTCCTTATGCATTAAAACAAAACAAAATAAAAACTTAAGATAAGAACTAGGATACCCAACAAACTCCTCTGGTTTCTTTTCCTTGATAAAAACATTGGTATTTTTAAAATACCAAATGTCAAATCGGGTCAGAAAATAGGGCTGCTTGTGTTCATATTTGCCTCCTGGATGACTGAGCACCAAGCAGTTGCTTCTGAGATAAATAAAAAGGTCCAGAGTTGCTAACAGAGCAAATGAATCATACAACTGACACGCTAAAATACTTCTTTATTCAGTCGTTCTCAAGTGAAGGCCTGTGTGTCAGATGTCATCCTAGAAACGCTATAGATAGAAAACAAATGACAGGAATGATTAGAAAGAGTCTAACAGGATCTTTATAGTCACTGAAAAATAGTTTTGAAAATGAGGTCAAATGGTACTATTGTTTAGAATGTTCTACAAAACATGCAATTTAAATTAAAACGAGTTCAAAATTTTTTCACGGAACTTCTGCTCTCAACCATGACAGAGTAACCTATATCAGACCAGCACTTCTACTAAGAACTAGAAACTCTGAAAACAGACCCAAAGCAAGTATTTCAAGGGATCAGAGAATTTTCAAGGCAGGCAGTACTCCAGAGGCTAAGGGTCTGGTAAAAGCCCATTCAGATGAGTTCCACACTCTGTGCCATTTTTCTCTTGGGGCGTTGTTGATTTTCAGCGCAAGCTGAGAGACTAGATACAGATGGGCCAGCGACAAACACAGAGCCAGAAGAGCTGCTGGAAATCCCACGGGGTTGAGGATAGAAAAGTGGGTCAGCCAAGACAGCCAGGACTTGACGTGTCAGAGCCCAGAGAGATGGGAGGTATGATGAAATGAGCTTGATACTCTGCCCTGGCTTTGCCAGGGGGGCATCTGCCTATTCTTGATTGTGCAGAGAGAGAATGAGGAGCTCAACTTGAAGTGAACGGAAAGCTACAGTGAGCAGTGGCCATCTCCCAGGAATATCAGAGCCAGGCAGGAAGGGGGACCTTGGTATACACACCAAACTCTAGTGAAGAACCCTGCAGGGTACATTCTATGAGCAGGAGCAAACAAAGTTCTGAAAATAAACTTAGAGAAAGCTTTGTCTCTCACTGAATAGAGAATAAATTTCCCTACACTATCAGCCAGAAGATGGGATGAGTATTGTCTGGAATAAGATGACATCATTGTCTCAAGATCCTAAAATTTTATCCACACATAAATATTTGATATTCAATCAACCATTAACAGAAATAGCAAGGAATGGATCTAGAAAATAGATATAGCTTACAGATGATCCAGATATTGGAATTTGCAGACAAGGAGTTAAAAATAAATAATTGCGACTAATATGGTCAAGAAATAGATGTTAAGATGAAGTCTTTCATCAGACAACTCAAATCTACAAAAAAATATGAAATGGATATTCTAGAAATGCAAAGATAATAGTTGAAATTGAGAACTCAGTATACAAGTTTAAAGGAGACTGTACACATCTAAAGAGAGGATTCATGAACTGGAAAATAGATCAGCAGAGAATTACCAAACTGAAACAATGAGAAGATAAAAGGAAAGAAAATATTGATTTTAAGAGACAGGGGACACTGGAAAAAGATGTAACATGTGTTTTATGGAATCACAGAAAGAGTGAAAAGAGAAAATGTTAAAAATATTTGAAAAGACATTAGCCAAACATTTCCAAAACCTATGAAAGATATCAAGTCACAGATTCAAGAAGTCCTACCAACTAGGAGAATAAAGTGCACAAAGAAACCAACATCTATGTCGAACCAAAATAACCTACTGAGAAGGCAAAGAGAATCTCAAAGGCAGCAGAGTAAAAGATGCTTACTTTCAAAAAAGTACTATTAAAATGATCTTTGACTATTTAACAAAAAGTACAAAAACAGAAAAGGATGAAATGACATCCTTAAAGCATTGAAAGAAAATAATGGACAAGCTAGAATTCTATATCAGGCAAAAATATTCCTCAAAGGAGAAAAAAAATAAAGAGATTTGCAGACAAACACAAACTGAGAAAATAATAAAGAACTAATTTTTTCAGGCATACAAAAAATGAGAAACAGAGAAAAACAAGAAAAGATGAGGTAGATAGCCTCATCCACCAGAGGGCAGACAGCAGACGCAAGAAGAACTACAATCCTGCAGTCTGGAACAAAAACCACATTCACAGAAAGACAGACAAGATGAAAAGGCAGAGGGCTATGTACCAGATGAAGGAGCAAGATAAAACCCCAGAAAAACAACTAAATGAAGTGGAGATAGGCAACTTTCCAGAAAAAGAATTCAGAATAATGATAGTGAAGATGATCCAGGACGTCGGAAAAAGAATGGAGGCAAAGATCTAGAAGACGAAAGAAATGTTTAACAAAGATCTACAAGAATTAAAGAACAAATAAACAGAGATGAACAATACAATAACTGAAATGAAAACTACACTAGAAGGAATCAATAGCAGAATAACTGAGGCAGAAGAACGAATAAATGACCTGGAAGACAGAATGATGGAATTCACGGCTGTGGAACAGAATAAAGAAAAAAGAATGAAAAGAAATAAAGACAGCCTATGAGACCTCTGGGACAACATTAAACACAACAACATCCACATTACAGGGGTCCCAGAAGGAGAAGAGAAAGAGAAAGGACCTGAGAAAATATTTGAAGAGATTATAGTCGAAGACTTCCCTAACATGGGAAAGGAATAGTCAACCAAATCCAGGAAGCTCAGAGAGTCCCATACAGGATAAACCCAAGGAGAAACATGCCGAGACACATAGTAATCAAATTGGCAAAAATTTAAAAAAAAGAAAAATTATTGAAAGCAGCAAGGGAAAAACAACAAATAACATACAAGGGAACCCCCATAAGGTTAACAGCTGATTACTCAGCAGAAACTCTACAAGCCAGAAGGGAGTGACATGATATACTTAAAGTGATGAAAGGGAAGAACCTACAACCAAGATTAATCTTCCTGGCAAGGATCTCATTCAGATTTGATGGAGAAATCAAAAGCTCTACAGACAAGCAAAAGCTAAGAGAACTCAGCACCACCAAACCAGCTCTACAACAAATGCTAAAGGAACTTCTCTAAGTGGGAAACACAAGAGAAGAAAAGGACCTACAAAAACAAACCCAAAACAATTAAGAAAATGGTCATAGAAACATACATATCGATAATTACCTTAAACGTGAATGGATTAAATGCTCCAACCAAAAGACACAGGCTTGCTGAATGGATACAAATACAAGACTCATCTATATGCTGTCTACAAGAGACCCACTTCAGACCTAGGGACACATTCAGACTAAAAGTGAGGGGATGGAAAAATATATTCCATGCAAATGGAAATCAAAAGAAAGCTGGAGTAGCAATACTCATATCAGATAAAATAGACTTTAAAATAAAGAATGTTACAAGAGACAAGGAAGGACACTACATAATGATCAAGGGATCAATCCAAGAAGAAGATATAACAATTATAAATATATATGCACCCAACATAGGAGCACATCAATACATAAGGCAACTGCTAACAGCTATAAAAGAGGAAATCAACAGTAACAGAATAATAGTGGGGACTTTAACACCTCACTTACACCAATGGAAAGATCATCCAAACAGAAAATTAACAAGGAAACACAAGCTTTAAATGACACAATAGACCAGGCAGATTTAATTGATATTTATAGGACATTCCACCCAAAAACAGAAGATTACACTTTCTTCTCAAGTGCGCACGGAACATTCTCCAGGATAGATCACATCTTGGGTCACAAATCAAGCCTCAGTAAATTTAAGAAAATTAAAATCATATCAAGCATCTTTTCTGACCACAACACTATGAGGTTAGAAATCAATTACAGGGAAAAAAGCAAAAAAAAAACACAAACACATGGAGGCTAAGCAATATGTTACTAAATAACCAAGAGATCACTGAAGAAATCAAAGAGGAAAGCAAAAAATACCTAGAGACAAATGACAATGAAAACACGACAATCCAAAACCTATGGGATGCAGCAAAAGCAGTTCTAAGAGGGAAGTTTATAGCTATAAACGCCTACCTCAAGAAATAAGAAAAATCTCAAATAAACAATCTAACCATTCACCTAAAGGAACTAGAGAAAGAAGACCAAACAAAACCCAAAGTTAGCAGAAGGAAAGAAATCATAAAGATCAGAGCAGAAATAAATGAAATAGAAACAAAGAAAACAATAGCACAGATCAATAAAACTATAAGCTTGTTCTTTGAGAAGATCAACGAAATTGATAACCATTAACCAGACTCATCAAGAAAAAGAGGGCGAGGGCTCAAATCAATAAAACTAGAAATGAAAAAGGAGAAGTTACAACAGGCAGCGCAGAAATACAAAGCATCCTAAGAGACTACGAAAAGCAATTCTGTG